GTGTGTGTGTGTCTGTGTGTGTGTGTGTGTGTGTGTGTGTGTGTGTGTGTGTGTGTGGGTGGGTGGTTTTTCATCAAACATGGCACTTTGCATTATTGCCAAACATCTCCACTTTGGTCTCATCTATTTAAAGGACATTGTTCTAGAAGTCTTATGGTTTGTTCAGATGCAACTTTGCAAACCTGAACTGTGCTGTCATGCTTTTCTCAGATAGAAGAGGCTTTCCTCTGGCAAGCCTTCCAAACATGCCATGAACTTTATCATTTAACATGTTAACTGAGGCCTGTGGAGTCTGCGGTGAAGCTCTTGGGTCGTCTGCCATTCTTCTGAGCGTTACACAGTCTGATGTTGGGGTGAATTCTTGTGTTAACAGTAAGAGTGTCCTAACTTTGTCACACATGGCTTTTCCATTTTGGCTTTATTTTTGTTAAATAAATAATGACACGGTGTGATATGATAATATATAAAACAATTACAAATAAATAGATTAAAATGAAAAATAATTAAACAAACAAATAAATATGCTTTCATCCTACCACAGAAGGGAAATGATACGAAACTGCTTTACAGTTTTTTCTCAGTTGCTTACACACATTTTCCAAACTTTGCCTCTTTTTTTCCAAACTTTTCACACAAATCAAAGAATTGCGCACAAAATGCAAAATGCCTCGCATCTCTTGCAAAATGAAGCACTGCATTCAAAATATCACAAACACATCTCAAAAGCAAGCATTTACAAACAGCTTTGCCATAATATTAATTCCTGTTAGATTTTGAGTGTGTGTTACACAGAGAATTGTGTTGTGTTTTCCAAAAAGTGTTTTATGAAATTGAAAACCGAGTCAAAGGCTGGGAATTAGTGTATGGTTTTGTAGATTTGGTGTGTGCTTCTGCTGTTCGAGTGTCAGCTTTCAGAAACTGTGTGACAAGTAAATATTTAGTGTGTGAGCAGTTGAAAAAAAACTGTAACTTAAACCCCTTCAGACCTGAATCTTTTTCACTGAACACATTTTTTTTATCCACTTGATATTTGCTCTTCTCCAATATAGAAATAAGTCTTAAAAAAACAAGATTTGTGCCAACTCATTTTTTTATTAGATTTTTTTCATGTTCACTATAATGGACACCAGGACTGAAGAAAAATAAAAATCCCCATATTTTAACCATACATAATAAGTAGAGATTGTGCACGATAGTTGAACTAGTGTTCAAGATTTTGAAAAGATCACATACTATAAGAATGAACAATGCAGTAAGAATGTGGAAAAAAGATGATATGAAGTCTCAAAAAACCTGTTTGATCCTTTTTGTTGGTTGAAGTGGGTGAATCTGAGTATATGAATAAATGCCTTTGTGTGCATGTGAATGGGTTTATGTACTTGCTGATTGTTTTGATGAATATATGATTGTGTGCATTATAGCATCATGGCATCAGTGTGTGTGTTGCAGTGTATTCACCGATCTCACATCCACTAGAGCTGTTTCTCACTAAAACCAATGAAAGTTGATTGACAGGCTATGGTCACTTTGATGACATAAATGAAATCATATTAATATTAATTTCAGTAATTAACATCAATGTTCATAAAACAGAACATTAGAATAGCTCTGTATTTAGCTTTCAAATACTTCCACAAGTTTCTCAAACGGTTATACAACTAATTCTTGAGGTGCTGCTGATAGCTTGTCTAGTTGGTGAGTCATGTCTCTCTGTTGTGATGCCTGTAGCTCAATCAGATTAAGTTAGGAGTCATGTCTTCATTGTGATTGGTTGATCAGGGACCAATCAGTGACCAGGCATTGCTCATATTATGAAAAATAAAATTGAATTGATTTAAACAAAAAATCATGCGATGTCCATTTCAATGGAGGCAGGGTCCGAAGGGGTTAAAAAGTGCGCCGCCTAGCGGCTGGTCAACCGAATGCAGGACGCGTTCTCCGCCATCGGACAGAACGCGGACCTGGACCTGCCGCAGATCGCGGTGGTGGGCGGACAGAGCGCCGGGAAAAGCTCCGTGCTCGAGAACTTCGTGGGGAAGTGAGTCCTTCATTTATTAAAACACACACAATAATCCTTAATACACCATAATAATAACGCGTACGGCAAATGCACGCAGCATTAATCTTATATTCCGGCTCGGTCGCAACCCCCATCATGCCTCAATGATATGTAAATGTCATCGTGAGGATCCTGATAATAACCTTTAAATGTTATTGAGACATGATGGAGCAATGGTGAAAATCATCAGCCGTGTTCACAACAACAACTGAATCCTCCTCATTTATAGTGTATTCTTCATTATGCATTAGTGCATCATCATCATCATCATCACCATTAGTGTGTCCTTTAATAACAATAATAATAATGCACAAGGTCATTAAGGTGAAACCCCATATAAACACTGTAAGCTCTGGTTCTGTGAAGAAAGAGCGTGAAACATGGATGCTGCTGGGATGATGTTTACTAGAGCTGAGAGACCTCTTCTGATACACACATCTCTGATGCTGATGCTTCAATAGAACACAGCACTTAAAATATTAAATACAAACTGCATTCCTTATTAGTAGTTTGCTAAATCAGTCACTGTTTCATTTGATCAAATGTTTTAAAGTCTTAAAGTTGAGTGTGTGAGTGCAGCGTTTGGTGAAGTTCAGACAGGAAGAATTGCTCAAAGTGTGTGTTTTGTTGTTAATTAGTGATCAGACGCACCAGAAACCTGCTGAAAGAATCTCACACTGAAGGACTCCAGCAACCCAGAACATCTTAATAAACACCCCGGCAACCCAGAACATCTTAATAAACATCTAGAAACACTTCAGCAACTCAGAACATCTTAGTAAACACCCCGGCAACCCAGAACATCTTAATAAACATCTAGAAACACTTCAGCAACTCAGAACATCTTAGTAAACATCTAGAGCATGAACAATTCCACACTGGCTTCATTGTAAACAGTTTTTATTTAAACAACAGACACAAGACATTTACATCAATGCTCATCATGTTTGTTATCAGACATAAGCAATCATCTAGAGTCGGTGTGAGCTGGATCATCTCAGGCCCATGAAGAGGAAGATGGTGGAGCGCTTTGAGCCTCTGATTCATTGAGCAACACGCTTTGAGTCGTGCTCGAGTGGTTTTGGGCTGCATGTCTCTCGAGGAGGAATGTTTGCTTGTTCTTTCGGCAGTGTGTGTGAATAACTCAGTCTTACGCTGCAGGATTCAGCAACTATTGCTGCTGAGGGAGCTCGTGTGAGCAGAGAATAAATAAACCAACTGTTTCCCTTGGATTATGTACATGTTAAAGGGTTAGTTCACCCAAAAAGTATAATTCTGTTATTAATTACTCACCCTCACGTCGTTCCAAATCCATAAGACCTTCGTTCATCTTCGGAACTCAAATTAAGATATTTTTGATGGAATCCGAGAGCTCTCTGACCCTGCATAGACAGCAAGGTAACTACCACGATCAACGCACAGAAACGTAGCAAGGAAATGCTGTTTATGTTCAGGATAAAGTGCGCATTTAATTCAATGCAACGGAAAGCGATTAATTTTTTGGATTTTCTGAAGGACCAGGACTGGGTGCTGACGTCTTGCAGATGGTTAGAGGAAGCACAATCTGTACTCATTATCATTGTCTGCTATTTAAATCTGGCAAAATTAACCTTCTATGCTATTATGACAAAAGCCTCGTCCTATATTTAGACCTCAAATCAAACAGACTGTAATTATCCTGAACATGCACTGTTCAAAATCTGGAATGCCTTGCATATCCTGTTAAACTACTAATTACATCTAAATAAAGATGCACAGGAACAGTCTGTGATGCAACCTCTAAATAAAGCATCTTATAAATAACAATAAAGCGATTATTTTGGTCAATATTCAGATCACAACTATTTAGCATGATTACTCATTGACATGCATTCAATGAACATAGAAAAAACTTGATTATTACTTGATTAAACTTGATTATAATTCAACTAAATAATACATTTGAAAATGTAGACGTGAGCTTAAATCTCTCTCTCTATATATTTTTTTCTCAGATTTTTGATTTAACTACACTCACACTGTTGAATGAGAATAAAGCTTGGAATAAACTGAATCAACATTGATCTGAATAATGGCTCTATTGTCTTCTGTAGAGCTGATTTACAGCTGAAATTGATTTTTTTTCATAATTGATTAATTCTACTGTTTATTACTGTAAAGCTGCTTTGATCTGAATTGTATAAAGCGCTATAGAAATAAATGTGACTTGACAATTAAATAATAATAAAATTAAACAGTTAAATAAGATCAACTACTTGTGATGCACTGCCGCAACCTACAGAAACCTACTGAACAAGATCATCACGGGAAATGCAATGCAATATAATAATCGCTTCAATTCAAAATATAAAATTATTGATTCAAGCCAAAAAAAACAACAAACAAAACTGAAAATAAAGTCTGATTAATTGCCCAGTCCTAGTATGAAACAGGGAAGTTCAGGACCACAAATCTGTGTCTGTAGAAAGTCTGGAACGGGATTCACAAAACAGATTGGGTGTGAACATCAGGCATGTTTCAGCACCACGGACAGCTCCAGAAGACCGGTCAGCATTCCCACAATTCCCTGCCAGAGCAGCTGACGAGAGCATCAGTGCCCATCAGATGACCCAAATTAACCCGGGGCTGGACTTCATTCTGCAATAAGCCCCAAGAAGCCGTGGTTTACAGTGAATTTATAAGAGCTAAGGGGCGTTGTTAGGCCGAACGCGGCTCAGCCAATCAGAATCAAGCACCGGAACTATCCACTTTATAATAGTAGTTTTAAATTCTTAAGGAAATGTGGTTGGCGTTTGCCTGTCCATAAACCATCACTATAATGCTAGCGTGTAGAAATTAAGCTGTAAATATGAGGGTTTAGTCAAGTGTAAGGTAAAATAGAATTATAGTATTTGTATTATTTTACTTAAATAGTAATTTTTTATTTCATAGTGAAATGTTGCAATAGGAATATTTCTTTTGCTTTTATTTAGTCATTTTAATATTTTTATGTAATAATAATAATTTTAGCCATATTGATATATATAATCCTAAATATAAATATACAGCCAAAATTTTGGCTAAACTGTGCGGCCCTACAAATAAGCACAGCAACCCTGGAATTATTTATAAAATCACATTGTAAATTGTGATTGCAATTTTTATCAGAAATGTTTTTCTCAAACCATGCAGCCTACTAAAGTGTTACATGCAGATGCCAGGGCACTGCTAACCGGTTGCTAGGGTGTTGTGTGTGGTTGCTAGGAGGTTGCTTACAGTCTTGTGGTCTGTAAATGCAGCTTGGGTTGCTCTTTCAGTGTGCGTCTGTGGGGTTTGTTCACGTGTTTATCACTGGGAAAGCATGTGGTGATGTTTTCACTCAGGTCAGCTCTGAACAAACCTCCTCGGGCTCGTCAACAAAAGCAAAAATAGATGAGAAGAGAAATGTGAAAAAGACCTCAGCAGTTCATCACAACACTCTAAAAGAGTTAAGAGTAAACCGACTGACTGGATTCACTCTGAGGTCTAGATCAGGGTTATTATAGTTTACTAAAACCATCAAAAAATTCGTTAAAAAAAATATTTTATTCAGCTTTCAGATGATGTATACATCTCAGTTTCGAAAAATTGACCCTTATGACTGGTTTTGTGCTCCAGGGTCACATATATCTAACTAACTTCAACTAAAATAACTAAAACTGAAATAAAAAAAATACTTATTTTATTTTTTTATTATTTCTATAGACATTTTAAAAAAATGCTAAAAAATACAGAAACTTTTAAAATAAAATGAAAAAGGCAAAATCTAAAAAACGTGTTAATAATAGAATTCATATGTCATAATAATTCATAAAATATTATTAAAAACTGTAAGAGTATCTCAATGACACTAAAATAACACTGGCCCTGACTTACATAATAATAAGCTGGAGTGAGTGAAATGAAGGATTATGTTTTTCATGTATTCTCTGACTCGGTTTAATCGCTGTATGAGAGCAGCAAGCGGCCCATTACTGTCACTCTCTCCATTAAACATCATGTAATGATCTGCTGAACACCGCAGCATTAGACTGCCGTCATGGGCTCTTTCAGACATTTCTCTTGTTTGTATTGCACAAATACAGTATGTGTAATGTTATAATCTATCACTATCTGACAGTTGGACGCCAGTCAGTCTCCTCTGTACTGATGGTGAAGGCATTGATAAATCATGGCGCTGTGGTGAATCTGAGCCGGTCTCAGCAGGATTACCTCTAATCTGATTCTCCCGCGTTCATTCGCTGCTTTAATCCCACGCTCCACAACAACAGTCCGCTTCATTCGCTTCAGACTGTAACGTGTCCACAAACCAGCCGTCTGGAATCACACGCAGCACACTTCAACACTCGCAAACACAAGAGACATTATAGAAGATCACATTAACACCGTGTCAGTCAGAGAGAATGACGAGCGTCAGTTCAGTCCAGTTCAAAATTCTAAATTAGATATAAAACTCTCCACTTAACACACTATCACTAGTTTATTTCATTTGTTAAATCCTTCCAATGTGTGTGTGTGTGTATATATATATATACAGTATATATATATTGGATTTATTTATATTGCCATTTTTGGCATGACTGCACTACAGCTGACAGAGATTATATTTTAAACATTTAAACATTTTTATAATAGACTGGCAGACTCATTTTTTAAGTTAAATTTTGTTATTTTATGTGTCCTAAATGCACCCAAATAATATTTACTTTTTGCAATTAAATACTTTTAGAAATAAATTGCAAATAAATTAGAAATAAATTGCAATAAAAATATTGCGTTGACAGGCGATATTTACCTTGAATTTTTCTTTGTTTGAGCGTCAGTTCAGTCCAGTTCAAAATTCTAAATTAGATATAAAACTCTCCACTTAACACACTATCACTAGTTTATTTCATTTGTTAAATCCTTCCAATGTGTGTGTGTGTGTATATATATATACAGTATATATATATTGGATTTATTTATATTGCCATTTTTGGCATGACTGCACTACAGCTGACAGAGATTATATTTTAAACATTTAAACATTTTTATAATAGACTGGCAGACTCATTTTTTAAGTTAAATTTTGTTATTTTATGTGTCCTAAATGCACCCAAATAATATTTACTTTTTGCAATTAAATACTTTTAGAAATAAATTGCAAATAAATTAGAAATAAATTGCAATAAAAATATTCCGTTGACAGGCGATATTTACCTTGAATTTTTCTTTGTTTTCAAGCACTTCACTGACACAGTTTTCTCATAGCATAATAAACGATCAAAAATCATAAAATGCATTTGAAAGATGCACAAATAAATGACTAAAACATGCAGGTAAAACATTTTACATTGACGTTCAACAGATGAAGTCAGAAATCTGTTATTTTTAATGCAAACCTTGGGATAACAGGAAGTGAGAGTAATCGAAGAAACACATAATAATGATATAAATGTGAAGATGAATGATTATAGATGCACATGTGCTGGTGAACATATGATTGTGTTCAGTAGGGTGTGTGTGTGTGTGTGAGTGTGAGTGAGTGTGTGTGTGTGTGAGTGTGTGTGTGTG